TTCATTACTGAAATTGCCTGTCAGTTAGAACCAAAGGCTCCCTACCTCTATATGCAAGGGAGCCGGGCTTTTGTGTAGTCATTTACTTGCAAAGTCGAATAATGATTCAGCATATTCAGGTGGTCCAGTAGGTGTACCGAGGAGTCTTGTAAGCCCTAAACATCCTTCACTTGTGCCCTTTTCCTCTCAAGTATCAGCCTACATCTTCTCTATCAGATGTCGGCCGCCACTAGTGCCATAGGCTCGATGTCAGTCAATAAGCTTGTCTTTGTCGACTGATTCACAATTAAATCTCTTAACAGAACGGTTGACTAGCTTGGAAGTCTCTCGCTCAGCTGATACAACAAATAGGTTTCTCAAAGTGTTTAATAAGACAACTAGCTCACATTGGATTTGGTGACCTCTCGCCATGTTGGAACCGCACAGCCATTAAGTCGGCCAAAAAACAAAATCCCGTTTTATCTTTGAGCATAAGCCTTTAGGCCCGCCTTCAAAGACTGAGTAGTCCGGAGTCCTGAGTTCTAGCATGCGAATGCAACATTCGCGCTGGAATGATTGATCGCTGCGTCGCATTTACAGCGATTTCTATTCCAGGTTCTCCGTTCTTTTTAAACTCCGATTTTCGCGAATTCCCAATCATCATCCACGCCTGTATGTATCATTTGGTTGATTTTCACCGCTTCCTTTTTTGCTCAACTATACGCAACTATCCATAACTTGCAGAATTTAATCTTTCCCCATGCCGCCATAGCTCCGTTTTAGTCCGAGCCAGAATATCTGCCTGGAAAACCCGCCTCGCACTCCAGAGGAGAGGCTTGAGGCATGGAGCTAGAAAGTTAATCGATATTTATCGATTTTATGCGGCGTGATTTTAGCGGCGAGAGGTAACTGTTCTGACCTTCTCTAAACAAGGTTGCAGGCAAACGGAGGGTGTGCGATAGCATCGAAGTTGTTTGAAGGTCAGTGACAGATTTTTTTATTACAAGGTACGGCATCAAAACTTTTTAAGCGTAAAATTACATTCTCTCTCTAGTTTAGTTGACAGGATAAAGAGATCTGTTCGCCATTTAGAATTTACTCATATCTCGACAACTTTCAAGAGAAAAAGAAGTATAATTTCTCATTGTGATAGACCAAATTTGCCAGATACAACTTATCTCTCTAGCTTATTCGAATTTCATTTATTTTTTTCGTTACCTTCAACTATAACATGTTTCTTGGGGATAGGATTGAAGTAATTCAACCCTGGAAGTCGACTAGAGGAACGAAAAACTTAATCTATCGTTGGGAAACGTGATCGAAAGGCGTTTCATAGGCCGAAGGACCAAGGGCGGACTGGTGTAAACTTTATGACCGGAAAGACTAGGGAGTCCTGACTATCGGTGATCGTACTGGAATAGATGTCTTCTTTTTCTGTATTCGAGCCTGTTCTATTTTCCCGCGCAACTCTCCTGACAAATATTGCACGAAACGTCAATAAGACTGGACTTTAATGCAACTCGGACGTCATACATAAAGGCAACGTCTAGGACTCGAGCTTAAAGGGGCGACTATGTTACACGCCGGCTTTAAACTTTTTAGACCTCGGACCTAACTGTGATTCTTGACACATTCACTTTTTTCGCACCATATTGCATTATTCACATCAGCTTTCGCCTTGTTCACTCTTTTTTCTCTAATTTTCAATTCAGTTTACTTCCTAGCCTTTTCACGTAAGAAACGCTAATAGGAATCCCTTTGTCTTAGTCCAAAAAGGGTGCCAATTTCCGTGTCCTAAGCCCAGCTGTAAGCCCAAAAGCATATTGCCCCTATCTCTAACCTAAAACCTAATCGTAATCATTTTGGGACTTAGCACAAGGTTGCCTGCGTTACGGGTTACTCCCGGTTCCGTGTCCTACCGTCTTTTCATTTACCAACATTTCGACGATACTTTGATGAGACTATTGATTCATAAGACCCCGAAAAACAATTATAAGTTTGCTGCTGTTGTGATTTCTTATGGCAGACACTTCTGTCTTGTAAAAAGTAGGACAAACTTCACTAATTAGAAAGGGTCGCTTCGTCTCCTCGATGTCAGCCGGGTCTGACGCAAGATTATGACATCCGTCATTCACGAAGGCCTCCGAAATGAAAATGTTTTAAAAGGTCTAAGATTGGACATGAATTTTATATAAACATGACTGCTATCCGTATGCCATGGTAAAAATGACAAAAAACTCTGACGTACATTTTCACACATTCGGCTAATCAAGGATTTGGTGCAAAGACTCAGTGGTTGTTGATTAGTGTTCTACGACAGCATAACGCATGGGGCTCTGTCCTGCGAAATCAGGTTAAGATGGAAAACGTTAAAATAATTGTCCAAGAACCGTGTGTCATCAACACTGGTTAAACGGACTGAGTCATCGTGATACAGTCATTGTTCCCATATCCAAAGTCCTCGAGAGACCTTGTTAGACACGACACCCATCCGTTATAGCTAGACCATCGTGCCTGGCCATGTCCACATCAAGGTGAGACAGATAAGGTGACTTGGACGTCAATTAGTTTACAGCGAGGGGGACTTACGCAGCACCTACCGCACTTTCTCCTCCCCACCTGGGCCCCCTTTCGAGACACAGTCAAGAGGACTGGAGGTGAGAGAGGTCACAGGGGGCTGGCACGGTCGGACCCGCACCTGGGCGTACCACCACACCTCCTCGTCTACAGCAAACAATTTGCCGGAATTTGCACTAACAACAGCAGCACCACGACGGATCAGAAATACGACGAGGATGACAGGACAGCCATCCTCACGACCTGTATACCCAGCGGAGGGGGGCAAGCACATCTACCAGCAGTGAACCAGGTGTCATAAAGCTTCCAGTGCACACCAGGCTGCGAGGGCCATGATTCACTAATCCTGGCATTGTAGGCGCTTACAATCCTTGAGACCTAGAACGATGACACCTAGTCCTGCATTTGCCTGGACCATCATCCTTCAAAGGCTGGGTAGCCAATTAGTCGTCGACTGAGAGGCACTACTCATGTATACACACTCCTGACATGCGTGAGAGTACCAGAGGTCGCATTGAGAAGGAGCCGTGACAGTCTAACTCTCATTCCACCAGCCCGTCACCCCACACAAACACACACAACTGGGCAGACTGCGTGGAGGCGTCAGTCGGCAGGCTTCTAAACCACGGCCACGGCATTTGGTGCACTGTGATAGCTTTGCACTCAGATCCTGCATGCAGCAGACGAGCTGCGTGGAGAAAGAGTCGAAGAGAACACTTCCCACTTAAATGAGAGGCGTCGATTGAGTGTTTGCATTGTGCTGTGGTGGGTGATGTTCTTATGTTACGAAGTTATTGGTGGAAAAAGGTGTGGTGAGTGGTGTAGCTGGTGACGATCTACCCCTGGGTTTTCGTGAATGTGCTTGTGGCCTATCAGGCACATGCGGTGGCTGAGGACAATGCGTGCAGTTCAGGCAAATTCGTCTGGTGTATGCCAGTGTTCCAGGCACTAGTTCACCAGTATCCATGCAATGGATTCGCAAGTGGTTAACCAAACCGATGTGAGAGGGGAATGCGCGGGGGCGGTGTGGGCAGGATAGGTCGAGTCGGTTACAGTGGTGATGGTGATGCGGCTGCTGGTGGTGGGCACGCTGGACGACGAGGTGTTTATTGAGCCAGGAATGTTGGGTGTGCAAGAGGTGCTAGGTGTGCCGATATCGCGGTTAATTCCGCTTTTGTGGATACGCATGCGACTGAACAGGCCTATGCGGTGAATAGACGTGCGCGAACAATGAAGGCGGCTGCGATGAGTGTGTTGGTGCTCCAGACACGGGTTCGTAAATCTCTGTGCGATAGACTCGCACGTGACCGGCCAGGCAGATGCGTGAAGTGAATTTGCTGTCACAATGAAGACAAGTTGGGACGAATCCCACATCGCTGAATGTGGGGTTGATTATGGTGGTTTTCGGGGTAACAGGGGCGTTTTGGTCATTGACGGTGGTGGTAGAGGTGGTTTCGTTCGGTGTTTGTGGCAGAAATAATGTAGGTGGCAGTGGCCGATGGCAGTGTGACACGGGGATTCGAATCAACGTTGGTGAGGGGAGGCGCCGACGTGGAGGTTGTAGCAGGCGTGCTCGTGGAGGCAGCAACGGCAGTCGTCGGTCCGAGGATGACCGAGTAGGCCGATCCGCGCGCGAAATGATCATTAAAAGTGCAGGATGTTGGATGGGATTGAGTGGCGATGTTGTGAATCGAAGGCGCCTGAGACTTGCGAACAGTCCTTTTAACTTTAGCGACGGCGATCCGGCTTGCTTCGAGATGACTGCGCCAGTCTTTGCTTCTCTTCTCTAGGCCGTTCTATTCAGAGCGACGTCCTGTTAAGTCTACGGGTTGATCTTCAATCGTTTAAGAGAATTCTTCAATGTATCCTTGTTGCGTATTCTTTGTTCCCCCGCTTGACGAGCACACACGACGACATCACCATTGCAGAGCTGTTTTGGTAGAAGTGTATCTTCCATTTGCACGGAATGGCGGCCCCAACGTAGTTGCAGTATCTTCAACATGGCGTTAATGCTGAGAATTTTGGTCCGTCCTAGAAGTGCCTTGTGGGAGATCCTGTCTTGCCACCTCAGCTTTAGTATTCTGTGAATGCGGCTGCGATGGAAATGGTTAAGGTTTCCGGCATGGCGGGAGTAGACGGTCCAGGCCTCCGTTCCGCACAGGAGTGTCGTCAAGACGACAGTCTAGTAAATCTTTAGTTTTGTATTCAGCTGGGGGCCATGGTGATTCCACATCTAGACCTGCAGCCCGCCGAAAGCTTGGCTGACTTTGGAGATCCAATGGGCCACTTCAACGTCGATTCTGATTCAGCGTGACATCGTGCTGCCTAGGTATTTGAAGCTATCCGCGGTCTTCAGTTCGGTGCCGTGGACGCAGATGCAAGGGTACTGTATTCAATGGTCGATGGCTGTTGACTTATGACCACCGTCTTGTCCGTATGGACGGTCAGTCCGAGGTGAGCGCAGCGGAGGAGAGGAGGTTCATGCTACGTTGCATGTCTTTTTCAGTTGTGCTGTTGAGTGCGCAGTCTTCGGTGGAAAGCAGACCGTGAATAGTAGTTGTGAAGAGACGCGTCGGGGCCTGAATTCGCCGGCTGTTGAGAAGGTGTCCCTCGGTACTGTAGCCGATGCGGATCCGAAGTCGCTCATCGCAGTAGGCGTCCGTCAGCATGGCAGAGAAAATGAGACTGAAGAGGATTGGAGCGAATACGCATTCCTGCTTCACTCCATTGGTCATTGCGAATGCCTTGGAGATGACGTAGTCGTCCGCGACGCTCGCCATCGTCTCATCGTAGAGATGACTTACCATGTGCGTAAATCACTCGGGACAGCAGAACTTCTGCCTGATTCTCTCTAATCTTTCGTGATTCGCCGTGTCGAAGGCTTTCACCAGAACCACGAAGGTGGTGTAGAAGTGAGTCCACATCTCCTGGCACTTCTCTTATAACTGGCGAGCGGTAAACATCCTATTGATGGTGCCCCGGTTACGTCGAAAGCCACATTGGCTTTCCGGTAGAAGTCTTTACTCGAGGCGGTCGTTGAGACGGTTGACGACGGTGCGGGCGAAAATTTTCCCGGCGATGATGAGTAACGAGATGCACCTGTGATTGTCGCAGAGTTGCCGGTTCTATTTGCGCTTGTCCTGATGGACGATGGTCGCGTCCTTGAAATCCTGAGTAACTTGTCCGCAGCACCAAACCTCCTAAAATAGCGCCGTCAGTTGGGCCAACAGTTGGTGGCCGCCGTGCTTGTCGATTTCAGCTGGGTTCGCATCGGAAGCGGGGTTTTTCCCCGTTGAAGCGTTGTTGCATGGCAGGGGTGGTTTCTGGTAAAGAGGGCGGAAAATCCAGGTTGGTGTTGATTTTCGCTTGGGGGAACTCGTCAGTGACGGCATCGGAGATTGTGGAGGGACGGATAAGTACGCTTCTGAAGTACTCGATCCAGCGCTTCAAAATCTGCGACTTCTCCATCAGAAGTCTTGATCCATCGGAGTTGGGAAGCGTTGCAGTTCCTTTCGTTGGGAAGGGAGGACTGTAGATAGTCTTGATCGCAGCGAAGAAGTTCTTTGATTCGTTATGATTGGCATATCCCTGGATCTTCTCGGCCTGAGGAACCGTCCAGGTGTCCTGCATTTCTCGCGACCGTTTCAGTGCAAGGCGGCGACATTGGTGCATGGCCGCTTCGCAAGTGTCTGTTGGACGGTCGATGTAGGCTCAATGCAGCCTGTTCTTCTGGGCGAGCAGGTTACTGGTGATTGCGTCGCCGTCGTCAAATTAGTCCTGATACTGGTGACGTGCGCAACCGAGCACATTCAGGGCGGTCGAATGAACGGCTTCCCATGGTTTGCACCATCGCGTCTCACCGGAGGCGTTTTCATCCGCTGCTGACAGGTCTTCCAGACGCTGGGTCAGTTGATTGCTGGAATGCAAATGGTGAACAGGCAAAGACAACAAACCTGTATTCGGCTCTCCTGGAGGTTGCATACTTTATGGCCTTCTGTGGGGTTACAGGCGGCGTCTCATATTGGCCATGACAAGGCGGTGGTCCATCCAGTCATCGACGTTGCAGATCGTCTAGGTCACCATCACGTCTTGTCAATCTCGCCTCCGAACGAGAACATAGTCCAGCAGCTGCCAGCGCCGCTATCGGTGGTGCATCCGGGTGGCCTTCTCCCGCATCGGCAGGTGGAAGAGACGGTGTTTAGCACAGGTTTATAGGAGGAGGAGGGATGGGAGTGGAATTACCGTGTGGGGGGATACACACATGCATACCCTCACCTGGTTTAGCCTGCCGGCCGAGGCGGTTACCGAGGTGTGGCCGCTAGACAGAACCTAGCCCTGGGGAGCCATTGGTGGGAGTTGGATGCCAATTGATGCACGCTAGGTGCAGTCAACACCGGCAAGCAAGTGAGCGAACTACT